CAGCCACTCGCGTCCTCCCTGCGCCGCCACCACCAGCGGAGTCTGCAGCCGCAACGAGGTGAGGCCCCGCCCGGTCCGGCTAGGCGAGACCCCCTCCCCTGCCGCGTCCTCGCCGCCCCTGCCTCGAGCCCCTGGGCGCTGCGCACCTGCTGGGCCCGGCCCCCTGCCTCTTCCGGCCTCAGCCTCCTCTCCACACCTGCTCCTCTCTCGGCCTTCCACCCTGCCGCCTTCCCCTTCTTGGCCCACTTCCTCCGTCCTGCTGATCGGTTCCTAAGTTCAGCGTCTCCGCAGGCTTTGCATTTCATCCCTGCCCGTCCTTTTTTGCTTGCATTTGGGAAAATGTCTTCTCTCGCCTTTCTCGATTCCCCCAGACTTCCTTTGAAGCCCCCTCTCCCACGCGTCCTCGCGTCGTCCTCCGCTGTCTGGGGAGGGATGGGGGGAGTGGGGTCTGCTGGGGCCCGGGGCCCTGGGCCTCATCCTCCCGCAGCCCGCCCTGGCTGCCAGGACCCTGCTCCCAGGACTCTGCCCCCAGACTCCACTGCAGTTCACCCCTCAGGAAGAGGAGGGACCCTAGAGAGTGGCAGAGCCAGGCGGGCTGGGCTGGGCTGTTGAGTTGGGACAGGATGGGGGTCTGCAGGACGCGCTTTTTCCTGGCTTCCGGGGAAAATTCCAGCCTGGCAACCATTACGGGTACTTTGAGGCGAGCGGGGACCCCGCTGCCATTGAAGCTACTCAGATGTCAGAGAACCTCTGCCAGGCCCCTCCCCTCCTCCTTGCGGTGTTCTCCTATCATCTGATCTTTGGAACCTACCCACCCCGTACTCCCCTACTGCAGTGACCTCCCCTTTCTCAGTGCATTGACCTTCTCCCTCAGGAGGGGGGGAGGGGGTCCCCTTTACCACTGCCGACTGCAGCCGGCTTTTCCCCACCCCCACCCACTGCAGTAACCTCTTTCTCAGCCACCGGCCCCTCCCTCTGAACTCAGGCTCCACCCTCTAAGCCTCTTATCTTTTGCCTTCTTTCCCTTCTACCCCAGGATCCCCCAGCCGTCATGTCCATAGAGAGGATCTGGGCCCGGGAGATCCTGGATTCCCGTGGGAATCCCACGGTAGAGGTAGATCTCCACACTGCCAAAGGTACTGGCTGGGGCTCCCGATTCTTCTGGGGTGGGGAGGACTTCCTGACACCCCAGGGGCAGGGCCTGGCCAGGCTTCCCAGGCTGGACTCAGGGGCAGGATTCCTGGATTCTAGTGTAGTGGGAAATGTGCCCTGTCTGTGTGCGTACTGAATACACTGTGTGTGCATGTGTGTGCGTGTGTGTGCCTGTCATAGCCTCACTTCTGTGGGCTCCCACTTGTGCCTGGGGGTCTCAGCTGGGTGGATGGAAAGCCCGCTGCTTGTGTGGCAGGCTCAGGAGTGTGTAGCGGCAGGAGGGCCTCTCTCCTCACTGTGCCATCTCCCAGGTCTCTTCCGGGCTGCGGTCCCCAGCGGAGCGTCCACTGGCATCTATGAAGCTCTGGAACTGAGGGATGGGGACAAACAGCGTTACTTAGGCAAAGGTGAGGCCTTTTCTTTTCCAGCCTCGCCCCTTAGCCTCATGCCCTTACCCCGTGCAGTCCCTGGCTCTCTCCTAGTGTGTTTTCTCCTTGCTGTCCCCTTCCCGGCCCTCCCAGACCGATCCTGCCTGCCCCTGACTGGCCAGCCTCCCTGTCTCCCCAGGTGTCCTGAAGGCAGTGGACCACATCAACACCACCATCGCACCTGCCCTCCTGAGCTCAGTGAGGCCCGCCCCTGGCTGGGGATGCAGGACCAGGGTCCTGGAAGGAGCCCCATAGGGAGGACGGGGAGGGAAAAGGGACTCTTTACTGCCACCTGCTCCCGTGGGAGTTCCAGTCCTCTTGTACTGACAGGCTGCTGTCACAGGGACCAGGATGCACCCTGGCCTTCAGGCCAAGCCTCCCTCCTGGCCCTGGGTGATGGGGGTTCTGTCCATAGGGTCTGTCTGTGGTGGAGCAAGAGAAACTGGACAACCTCATGCTGGAGTTGGATGGGACTGAGAACAAATGTAAGCAGGAACCAGGAGGAAGTGAAGGGAATGGGAGGAGCCATGTTGTGTTGGGGGCCTTCCTCCTTCCAAAGCCGCTGTGATGGGAGGGAATGACATTAGACAGAAGGACGAACTTTTGTGTAGCATAAAGAGGAGGGAGTTGGCAAGAGGGAGTCTGAGGGCTGTTTGGAAAGCGGTGTGGCTCCCTGCCCTTCCCAGTCACCTCCTCCCCACCTCTTCCCTTCCTTGCCCAGCAGCCCAGAAAGGATGAGTGGCTGGAGTGGGGAGGGGAGATCTCCTTTACTGGCTCTTTTTGGGGAATACAGTTGGACGCAGGGACCAGAAAGGGAGGCATTTTTGCTCAGTCCTTCTTCTGTAATCTCCAGCCAAATTTGGGGCCAATGCCATCCTGGGTGTGTCCCTGGCCGTGTGTAAGGCAGGGGCGGCAGAGCGGGAATTACCTCTCTATCGCCACATTGCTCAGCTGGCCGGGAACTCAGACCTCATCCTGCCTGTGCCGGTGAGCACTGTGCATGCCCGGGCCTCTCCCGGTGGGAGGGACGGGAAGAGGCCTTGTGAGGAAGGATGGGGGGAAGTGAACGGGGCAGCTGAAGGGAAAGGATGGGGGACCCGTGCCTCTGGGTTGAGTCTGGGCCCAGGTTGGAATCCTGGGTTAACCCTCCCTGGGGTGAGAAGAAAGGGCCCTTGACCTTTGTCCCACGGTGGCTCCCCAGGCCTTCAACGTGATCAATGGTGGCTCCCATGCTGGAAACAAGCTGGCCATGCAGGAGTTCATGATCCTCCCCGTGGGGGCTGAGAGCTTCCGGGACGCCATGCGGCTGGGGGCAGAGGTCTACCACACCCTTAAGGGGGTCATCAAGGACAAGTATGGCAAGGATGCCACCAACGTGGGCGATGAAGGCGGCTTTGCTCCCAACATCCTGGAGAACAGTGAGGGTGAGCCAGCTTGGAAGCTCACTGTGTCAGAGGGCGACAGAACAGTCGCACTCTGTGGAGTCCTGAGAGCGGGGGTGGGGGATCCCTGGGCTCCTGTGAACCCCAGGCGGTACCAGTCAGTGGCCGGCTCTGAAAACTGCCAAGCTCACAGGCTGACCTACGACAGGTTTCTACCTGCTCAGCTAGACCTTGTAGCATCTGTAAATTTTCACTGGAGCCCTTGGGGATCCCGGGAGATGATCCAGGTGACCTGTGTCCCATTCTTTAACTCTATAGGCACATTACTTTGATAAAATACACCATAATTTACGGAACACATTCCTAATGTATATTCCCTCTAGGTTTCCTAATTTCCCTGTGCCCTGGGAGAAGCTGTATTGTGAATAAAAACTATAGGGTAGTATTTAACAGTGACGATTCTGCACCAGGGGCAGTGGCACATGCCTCTAATCCCAGTTGCTCAAGCAGCTGAAGCAAAATTACAAGTTCGAGGCCAGCCTGGGCAGCTTAGCAAGACCTTGTTTTGAAAAAAAAAAAGTGATTGGGGTGTAACTCAGTGGTAGAGCACATGCCCAGCGTACCTGCAGCCCTGGATTTGATTCCCAGCAGAACAAAGAAAGCTGAGCCGGGCGTGGTGGCACACACCTGTAATCCCAGCACTCGGGAGGCTGAGGCAGGAGGATCATTGCGAGCGAGTTCGAGGTCAGCCTGGGCTAGAAAGTGAGTTTAAGGTCAGTCTGAGCTGCATAGGGAGACCCTGTCTCAAAAAGACAAAAAAAAAAAAAAGAAAGGTTAATGTTCTGGGGTCACTTGCCTGGGTTTATTTGAACCTTGAAGAGTTACAAGTTCCTGGGTAATGCCCTTTCTTCTTTCTCTCTCTTTCTTTTGTTCCTTCTTTCTCCCCCCCCTCTCTTTCTTTCTTTCTTTCTGACAGGGTCTTGTTATGTAGTTTACATTGGCCTTGAACTCACAATGTACCCCAGGCTGGCCTCAAACTTGCAGCAATCCTCCTGCCTCAGGCTCTTCAATGTTGGGATTACAGGTGTCTGCCACCACACCTGGCTGGGTGTTGATCTTTCTTACTTAACTCCATGCTTCCTTTTTCTATCTGTAAAATGGGAACACAACAATTTCTGCATTGTAGTACCAGTGTGAGGATGAAATGAGACCACGTATGTAAAATGCTTAGGTGACACGATGCCAATAAAAATAGTGACTGTTTCTATTCCTTCTCCCCCACACCGAGGTGCCAGCCCAACAAGCAGCATAACCACACCTCCCCTGGCAGAGGCCCTACCCTGCTCTTTCTTTTCTCTCTTCCTTCCCTATGCCCTCCTCCTCCTTACAGTCTCACTTTCTTCCATCTGTAGCCTTGGAGCTGGTGAAGGAAGCCATCGATAAAGCTGGCTACACGGAGAAGATTGTCATCGGCATGGATGTTGCTGCCTCAGAGTTTTACAGAGATGGAAAATACGACTTGGACTTCAAGTCCCCAGCGGATCCTTCCCGATACATCACTGGGGACCAGCTGGGGGCGCTCTACCAAGACTTTGTCAGAGACTATCCTGGTGAGAACTGGAATGTGGGACTGTAATCCCACCACTTGGGAGGCTGAGGCAGGAGGATTGGTATGAGTTCGAGGCCAGCCTGGGCTACATAGTGAGTTCAAGGTCAGCCTGAACTGTGTATCAAGATTCTGTCTCAAAACAACCCCCCCCCAAAAAAAACAAAACAAAAACAAAATCCTGGAATGTGGATGAGGAGCAGGCAGACCTGTTGGGGCAACTCAACTTTGTGGATGCCAGCTCAGCTGCCAGGTAGAGATGTGCTAAGGAGAACCTGAGAATTAGGGCTGGGATGCAAGACCCTGCTGCAGACAGGGCTTTGCGTGTTGTGTAAATGTGCAAGGTCCTGTGATGCTTCAGTTTCTATCTGCTTCAGGTCCTGACTAGAAGCCGCTGAGATCATGGGGAGGGGGTGGGACCCAGGGACATGGAGACAGGCTGTTCTGTCCTAGCAGCAAACTAGTGCATTTCAGTATCTTTACTTGAAACTGTGGCTGCAGGATGGACCTGTGAGTGATGTGTGAATAGAGAAGACGGCTGAAGAGAGACTAAACTACTCTCGCCAGGTCTACCAAGGGCTTCTGTCCAGGGGAGGAGGCAGCTGGGCACTGTTCTCCTGAGACAGAGCAGGAAAAAGCAGAAACTGCAGTAGGAAGGGGTTCAACTAATAACGAGGAAGGGCTTCCAGGCAGCGAGAATAAGAAAACACAAAGTGAGGTTGTAGGAAGGTTCTGAACCCTTGTTACTGGAGGGTTTATGAAGTAAGACGTAGGAGATGGGGAGTACATGCCTGTGATCCCAGCACTCTGGGAAGCTGACACAGGAGGATTGCAATTTCGAGCCTAACCTGGGCACCTTAGTGACTTAGAGACCCTCAAAAAATTAAGGAGCATAAATAAATAAATACATAAACCAGGCATAGTGACACTCACCTGTAATTCCAGTAGTTGGGAGGCTGAGGCAGGAGGATCCCTTTGAGTTGGAGGGTGGCCTGGGCTACATAGTGAGTTCAAGCCCAGCGTGAACTATGTAGTGAGACCTTGTCTCAGAAAAACAAAGTTAAACAACAAAAACACCCCACAAAAACAAACAAAAAGATTAAAAAAAATGAGTTGGAGGACAGTGTGGCCTACATATTGAGCTCAAATCAGCCTGAATGTCAAGATGAGACCCTGTCTTAAAAAACAAAAAACAAACAAACAAAAAAAAGCACTTGGGGCAGGCTTATTTTGGGGAGAGTGGGTGGCACAAGGACAAACAGGTTTTGTTAGTCAGGTGAACTCAACATTTCAGAAAAATCAAAGGAGGCGGGTGTCTCTGCCCGAACAGAGATCCAGGCAGGGTGACAGTCCCCTCACTCTCCCTCTGCAGTGGTTTCCATCGAGGACCCGTTTGACCAGGATGATTGGGCCGCCTGGTCCAAGTTCACAGCCAATGTAGGGATCCAGATCGTGGGTGATGACCTGACAGTGACCAACCCAAAGCGCATTGAGCGGGCAGTGGAGGAAAAGGCGTGTAACTGCCTGCTGCTCAAGGTCAACCAGATCGGCTCCGTCACGGAAGCCATTCAGGCGTGAGTGGCTCTTGGCCTCTCCATGGCTCTGCTGCTGCAGGCTCCCTCTCTCAAGCCCTCCCAGCCCGATCCGGCCTAGGGCTGCTGAAGGGAGCAGGGGACCTGAGTCCCATTCCTATTCTCTGAGCTCTGCCCTCTGTGCCCCTGGTTCTCCAGCCCCTATGCCATGTTTCTCACCACAGACCAAGGGTGGGCAGGGCGGGGCGAGCTCAGTACGGGCTGGGGCTCAGGCTGGTCTGTGGTGCAGGTGCAAGCTGGCACAGGAGAACGGCTGGGGGGTCATGGTGAGTCACCGCTCAGGGGAGACCGAGGATACCTTCATTGCTGACCTGGTGGTGGGGCTCTGCACTGGCCAGGTGAGGGGCAACCTGTGGATGGAGGGGGGTTTGGGGAGGACTGGGGAGTTCTAGGCTCAGGTGGGTTTCTCCTGCTGGAATTGGAGGGCATCCAGCAAGTTTCAGCAGCAGATTTCAGGGCTGTAGCTCAGTGGGAGGCCCTAGGTCCTATCCCCAGTACTAGAAAAAAGTACGAGAGGTTTCTTTTCTGGGGGTGAAGGGGACAGCTTCTGAGCTGCCTGTGTTTTGGGAATGTTTCAGATCAAGACTGGTGCCCCGTGCCGTTCGGAGCGTCTGGCTAAGTACAACCAGCTCATGAGGTGAGGGTACTGGGGAATGGGAACCCAAAGCTATGGGGTTTAAAGCCTCATTTGTCATGCCTATGATCATGGCACTGAGGAAGGCTGAAGCAGGAGGGTCGAAGTGAGTTCAAGGCCAGCCTGGACTACATAGTGAAACCCTGTTTCAAAAACAAAAACTGGGGCCCAGGGATATAACTCAGTGTCACAACGCCTGCCTGACAAGTGCAAGGTTGTGAGTTTGATTCCTGGTAAAAAAAACAACAGAACAAAACAAAAAAACAAACAGAAAAACAGGGCTGTAACTCAGTGACAGAACACCTCTGGCTTTAATCCCCAGTACCAAACACACACACACACACACACACACACACACACACACACACACATACAAAGCTGTCCACTGTTCTGCCTCCAGCAGCTCGCCTCATTTCTGCTTCTCTCTCAGAATTGAAGAAGAGCTGGGAGATGAAGCCCGCTTCGCTGGACATAATTTCCGCAACCCCAGTGTGCTGTGAACCCTCTACTTGCCTGGACACTTGGACCCTCTGTCCCGTCCTCTTGGAACCTCCTCCTCACTGTCCTGTCCTGTGGTAGTTCACCCCCATCCGCATCCCGAGCCCAGGGCACCCAGAACCCCCTGACTGACCTGCTCTGGCTGCTCCTTGGCGAACCTGAGCCCTGCTTCTCTGCTGTGCTCCTCTCCGAGCCCTCCCTCTGGGGTTCCACAGCCCTTCCTATTCTCTCTTAAAGACTTGGGATGAGAACGAGGGTTTGTAAGGGGGTCCGTGGAAGGACATCTGTCTGTGACGGGAGCTTCGGTGCGGTGTGTTGAAGTGTTTGAGTGGGGCCATGTGTCACTGTACTTCCCCTGTCCTGTGTGTCTTCCATCTTGCATGTGAGCTGTGACCTGTGTGGAGTGTGCCACATGTGTGTTCATGACTCCCTAGGGCTTTAGTGCATTTATTTATTTATTTATCCGTTTATTTATTTTTCATTCAGCCTGTTAATTATTCATCTCCCTATAACCCTAGGGCCTAAAGGTAGCCTGATTGAGGGGACCGCCTCTGTGCGTCATGTGGCTGTGAATCAAATGACAAACTTGGGTGAGAGGGTTTGCTCACATGGGAAGGGTGACCAAGAGCGGCCTTCACAGCCATTGTGTCATATTAACCGAAGCCTGGGTTGGTGCACAGTGGGGTGTGTGCTTGGGGGGGCTCCTCCTCTATTTTCTCTCCCCAGCCCTAGATTCTGTGTTCCTCCTGCGGCTGCACCAGAGCCCCCGCTCACTCTCCCGTGCCATGTTCCACAGTTGCCACCACTGTGGCATTGAAATGAGCTCCACTATTAAAGTCTGAATCACACTGCATTTTTGTGTCTGAGGTGTCTTACCTGCACATGTGAGGGGAGAGAAGATGGAGGACCCGGATGGCTGTGTAACTGAATAGCAGGGGTAGGGGGCCGGCAGAGGACAACCAGCTGAACAAAAGTGGCCACAATGATGGTACTGACCACCCCACATGGCTAGGTGGGCTCTATGTTGGCCCTGCCTTCTCAGCAGCGGGTCTGGACCCAGGGAATCAGGCTTTTTTGTTTGTTCTGAGACATGTAGTGCAAGCTGGCCTTGAACTCACTTATGTACCCCAGGCTGGCCTTGAACTCCCGGAGATCCTCCTGCCTCAGCTTCCAGAGTGCTGGGATTACAGGTGTGCCCCACCATACCGGGTGGAATCAGGCATTCTTAACCTGGGATCCTGGAGTCCCTGGAAGTAGAAATGATGTGTGTAGTTGGGAGAATTTGGAAGGAAAGTGGTCTAAAGTGTTTTCAGATTCCCAGAATCCTTGTGAAGGGATAAGGCGTGCATGGCTGGGCTTCAGCCCACAATATCCTGGTTAGTTCTAAGGTAGGACAGGACCCCATGGCCATGAGCCCTTGTAGGATGGGGACCTGAGGAGGGAAGGATGGTACCAGGGGTGTAGAGGTGGGGTGAGGCAACTGAGACCTCTGACAAAGAAGACAGGACCTGAAGAGCTCACCAGGTCCCGGGCTGGCTGGGCTACGAGCAGGGTGTGCTGTGTGGCCAGAGCGTCCGCATCACAGGGACCGTGCTGGGGGACAATCCCACACACAGTGCCCTGGCTGCAGGGTCTGCACAGGGGCAGCTGGGGCCACTAGGGGGAGTCAGGGTTCTGCAGGACACACAGGGCAGGCAGAATTTCAAGGTTGTACCCTCTGGGGGCCTCCTACTCTGCTTCTACCGAGTTTTGTCCTGGCTCCTTCTGCCATGTGGCACGCTCCAGGGCTCAAAGAAGATTCCAGTTGTGTATGGGCAGGGCCCGTGGATCTGCCTTCATTCCTGCGTCCCTGACATCGCAGCCATTTTCAATTCGAAGAGCTGCTTGCTGCCTTCTCCTTCCCTGTGCCTCTTTCAATGTGGGCATCTCATCTTTCCCTCCGCCTAGCACCCCTAGCCACTCCCTTGGGGCTCACAGCACTTTTCTCTGTGTCTCCGTTTCCTCTGGGGGTACGCGGCCTCCATCCTTCAGTAACTTCCAGGCTGGCCAGGACTATTGTAGTTGGAGCCACCTTTCCTAACCTCAGCCCTTTCTTCCCTCTTTGCCACGCTGCCTTCTTTGACAGGTACTGGGTTGGATTGGGTTACAGCTGGCTCTGCCTGGGCCTGGCAGGCCCCTCTCTCCACTTTCCCTTTGTGCCGTTGCCTGGAGACCAGTGGGTTGTGGGGGGCTGGGGCCAGAGAGGGAGCTGGGGTGGACGGTGGTAAGCCAGAGTTGTGAGCCTGGCCTCAGGTAAGGGAGGAATTGGGAGGGGTAGGCCCTGGCTTCTCTTTCTACTCTCTCCATGCCCCGTCCCTACTTCTGGCTAAATTTTTCTTTTAGGCTCAGATAAAGCACCATCCTAGCTCATGTTTTAGTACTTAACAAACAAGAGAGAAAAGCTCAGTCAGAAAGGGATTTGGGAAGGGCCTGGGCCACAGCCCAGTGAGAGACTGAACTGAGAAGTCAGAAAGGAAACTCAACGCCACCAAGAGAGGCTGCAGAGAAGGAGGAGCCTTGGATCTAAAGTGGGGGTGGAGGGAAGGCGCAGAGCCCTCCTAGAGCCTGAGGGAGGCAGGGGTGCAGGGAGCTGAGGGCTTGGTCTGAGACAGGCTCCGGGAGGGGCAGAGAAGGTGGGTATGGGCATGCAGTGAGTCCCAGCCTCCCAGCCAACTTGAGGGACTTCAGAGTGATGATTCACTTCTAGGCCAAGAAAAGCATTCTTGCTCCTGTTCCTTGTCCCCCAGTGCCTTGCAATCTGTTTAGAGCTTTCCAGTACTCCCAGAACTTGGCTGAGTCTGGACTAAGGAACTGTGACACAAAATCTGTGCTGCTACAGAGCCAACCTCCTTTCCCAGCAGGCAGGTGAGAGCCTGCCGGCTCAGCACCCCCGTCCCCTCCAGCCAGACTGGCCCCACGAGTGCCCTACCCCCCAAATCTGGAGAGCTACTGAGGGTGCCCAATCCACATTCCAGCTCCACGTCTTCCTGATTTCCAGCCTGTCTCCCTCCCTTTCTCTGGCCTTCCCAATTTCAGCTGCCAAAAATCACCCTGTCTTTCTGGTGTCCTTTGTCCTGGGAGACGTTGCTGCTTGGTGTGAGGCCAGGGAGGGAAAGCAGAAGAAGGCACTGGTGGTGGGTGGTGGGGGTGCTGGCTGCAAGGATGAAGCCCGGGGGCGGCCGGCACTGACAGCCTGCGGAGCGGTGGAGGGGGAAAGGCAGGGCTAGGAGAGCCTGCTGTGGGTGGGGATGGGCTCCAAACGGAACTACTGGGATAGGAAGCCGAGGTCCTCGGGGAAACGGAGCCCAGTCCCCACCTGACCCCTTCCCTGTGATCTCAGATACCAATGAGCCTTGAGGGGGGAAATGGAGATGGCAGGAGGTGGAGGAGCCTGAGGACCATGGCTTCTTCTGTTGTAGCCCTTGGCTGCCCAGGGCCTGCAACCCGAAATTCTGTCACCTCTCATACTCCTCTCTTTCCCCATCAACGAACTTCCTTCCATGTCGCCACCAGTGGCCTTGTTTATCGTCCATCTCCTTCCCATCTTCTTTAACCCCTTCTCCCCGAGTTTTCTGCCAAAGGAAGGCCTCCTCAGTTGACTGGAAGCCCCCAGCCCCAGGACGGGCCACCTGCCACTCAGAACCTAGAGTGGCCGCGCCAGGCACCTGGCCCCATTGGTCCCTGCTGGGGTTCCTCGCCTTTGCTTTCCCACTGCCTCCTCAGACATCTCTGCACTTCCTTCCTCACCCCAAATCCCACAGTCCCCGCTCTTCTCAAGGCCAGCCAGCCTGCGCACTCGACGTCTTCCAGAAACCCTGTCGTCCTATGCATGTCTTTGTTTTTTTCAATTTCTCCCTTCTTCAAGTCCCGAACTTCCATCACATTCTCTCTGAAGACAGCCCCAGCTGTTCCCCTCGACGCACACCCCACTGCCCCCCAGGCCCCTCAGCCGCCGCGTCCTTCCCCTCCGGAGCCCCCAAACTCCTCCCACCTCGCGCCGACCACAGACCCCGCCGCCTCCGGACTTCCCGGACCCCCAGATCCGCGCCCCAGCGCGGCCCCTCCTCTGGCCCCGGCCCGGCCCGGCCCG